CAACCAGTAGTCAAGAAATTATCTGGCTGCTTTTGGGCTACGCCACCCAGAGCTCGTCTTTTTAGCTCCACTCTGTTGAGTATGTACATTCGTTTGCGTTTCTGTATATGCAAGTTAAAAAGATGCCCAGGAACAGTTTCATAAAAGTAACGTCGTTTCCAGGTAAACGCTGACACGGCCATTGATTGCATTTTGACCCTTGCTTATATATATATATATATGTGCTAAATAAATACATACCTATGTATGTATGTACAGTAGATTTCTTTCAAATGCCGATGCAAGCGTTGTCATTTAAGGACAAGATTGCTCATTTTCATTTCGGTGGTGGGAAGTGATATTGCATTTATACATACATATGTACATACATAAAATCGTAAATAATTTTATGAATTGTGTGAACCATAGTTGCGTTCGTTTTTGAATTTTATTAATAAGCAGATGCGGGGTGTCATATTTTGACCTAATTTAATTCTGAAAACCACCTATAATATTGTATATCTATGCAATATACATACATATATCGTCGTTTAAAGTACAAAACCGCGTATCAACAAAATGAAAAACCGCGCATCAAGATATCGCAAAACTGCGTATGTGAGTTTGCATAAAATATATTCTAGAGAGTAAAAACCCTCATATTTCAAAATGGTTCTCTTTTTTAAAAAGCAATCGCATTTTTGCGCATGTATATTTCAGGACGAATGGATAAGGATTGAGCCAAGAGCTTGTTTGAGCAAATCCAATTTTTGGCAGCAAATGCCAGTTACGCGGTTTTGCAGAATGGCGATACGAGGTTTTGTACTTTAAACGACGATATACAAATGTATATACTTAATGCTATTAGCTTACAGAGGTGACTTGGAAAGAGAAAAATTTGCAAATTATATTATCTATTAATTTTTAAATAAACACCGTGTATTTTTCGATTTGACGCAAATAGGACATATTCGTAAATTGATAACTTCCAGAAGATTATTCACATCATTGGCTTAAAACCGATTTAAAGTTACCTGTGAATAATTAATTTTCAACCAAAACTTTACTAGAGTTCTAAAGTAAATGATACTATAGAATAACACTTTGTGAAAACGCTCTTTTCAGCATATTTCTATTGTCATATGACCCATTGTGGAGACTGATCGAGTTTTAGTGAGACTGGCTCGATTCTCTTGTCATTTCATAGCCCTTTGACAACTGTGTAAACTTTTATAAATTCAGTTTTAAGAGGATATCACCCTGTTGATTTTTAGCTTAAAAAGCTAAGCTTAGCTTATATATATTTTTTTTTTAATGTATGTTACCGCATAACTTTTGATCACGTTAACCGATTTCTATAATTCTTTTTTCAAAGGAAAGGTGTTACCTCACAGGTGGTTCATATTAATTTGGTTTACATCCGATCATCGGAACATGAAGGAATTAACAATGATCTTAAATTTTTATATGAGAATTGAAGTCGCTTTTGTTTTTTTGCTAAAAATTACTTGTTTTTCTCTTAATTTTGAAGTTATGCTGATCGCCCGTATATGTATCAGGAATTTCCTCTGAGGCAATAAAAGATTTAGAATGCACAAAAAATAATTTCTGAACTATTGCCAACTATAGATACGGGGTGCGGAGGCTTTGCTTTGGCCTTTTTTAGCAAACTACAGCAGAGTATTGTTTGTATAATTCAAAAACGTGACACATTTTAACTTAGAACACTTGAAAACGGTGTACAAAGTATTTGCGGTAAGCAATTCATGTCTTTAGGTGTCAATACCAGCACGTTCTGTGGATCAAGACACATTTAGCAGATATACATATGTAAGTACATACATACTATGTACATATATGTATAATTCCGATGTCGGCTCGTCACAACTTTTGCAAATTTCATCTTCACCAGTGACTGGTTGCAATTTTTCGTCTCATTTATTTATACGATCACTTGGTCGTGCGCTCCTCAGCTCGACAAGGTTCCTCGGTTCATTTACACTTATCCATTGAGTGTCTTCTTCATTTAGGTTGTGCTCGCTCGCTTACTTGCTCGATCATAGTGGCTTGTTCACTCTGCTTTAATGCACTTTTGTGATTTCCTTTTGATTGTTATGTTGTTGGTATTGTTTGTTTTTTTTGCTGCTCTTTGTTGTTGCTTTACGACAAGGCAACCACTAGGGCTCTGGCACGTCGAATTGTTGGATCGCTTGTTGGTTTGTTGCTTGTTTGGCTGGTTAGTCTGGCTGCTGCGTGCTCTTGTGTTATTTTTCCCACTGATTCTTTTTGCAGTTTACATGTTTGTGGGATTGTGATTTTCGCTTAATATACTTTTCCTTGTTTGCTTCTGTATATGTACCTGTATGTTCATGTGTACATACCCCGTAGGAAATGCCTTATCAGCAGCTAGGCATTAGGCGCATCTACATAGAACTTTAGCGCTGGCTTTGACGTTCTTTTGACAGAACGCGCGTTAAAAGTATGCTTGCAACAATGAACGCTTGGCAGCGAATGCTTTGCCCACTAAATTAACATACTAACTACAGATAATATATTTCATATCAATAATTGCATGAAAAACGATATTTTTTTCCCGTTTTTGATTAAAAAGAAAAAATATTCCACATAATTTTATTTATTTGCAACAGCTGACGAACGACGCGTGTGAAAAGTTGAGAGTTGGCCATCTTTCTGCATTGTGTCGGCGTTAGCGTTGCCGAATTTTGGCGGAAGGCTGCATTTGAATTCACGGTGAAACGAATACAGAATGTATTCTATCGGTCTTGATTTGAATTCATGTATTCATAGTCAGCTGTTGAAGCGACGCCAACGCCAACGCAACGCCAAAGTTGTATGTGGATGGACCTTTCACCCGGCGCTCCGAATCTCCCTTGCTTGAACAAAGGCGTGGCCGCCTTATGGTATTAGGAATTTAGAATGTACATTTGGTACCAGCGATTCTTCTCAGCCGCTTTTCCAAGTAATACGTAGAATATAGAGCCGTCGCTTGGGCTAGTTCGGCTCTAGGAAATAACTTCGGCAGCACGTTATTTTGCAACTTACAACGTAACGGCCCGTCTCCACAGACAAAAGTTTTTGCCTACCAACTGTCATTTTTATTGCCTGATACAAATTTTATCAGAAGCATTATTTGTGCGTGGGCATTTTTTATCTTGATAAAAGCACTTGTAAGATGACTATTTTTTCCCGATTTAATTACTTAAGATATTTTTAAAAAAATATGCTATTTCACACCCAAATACGTAACAACGAATATTTTAACAGAAAATCAGGCAGGTTCTGCAATTCACTTCCGAGTGAATTTCAACCCCTGCCAATTTGAATTCTACGCGAATCCGACTCAAATTCACTCGGAAGTGAATTGCAGAACCTGCCTGAATAGCTCAAATTTCGCTTTTATATCAAAATATCGATAATGTTGCCACCACGAAGTTATCGCGCTTATGAAAATGTGGCTGTCAAAGTACCAAATTGCTGAAAATATTTATCAAGATAAAAGCTCTGATAATTATTGCCTGCCAAGAGCAACATGCGGTCTCCATTGGCAAAATTTTACTTCATAACATTATCAAGATAAAAACTTTTGCGACATCGGAGCTGTTACTTTTGTGCTTTACTAATAAATGACATTGGTCATGACAATTTTGGTGCTAAAATCCGAAAGAAAACATGGATTATCCCGTAAAGTGCTTACCTATTTTCCCAGTGGGTAGCATGTATGAATAATCATCTGTATGTGTGTATGAGAATCGTAGTTTGGACGCGAGACAATGGGTACTGTTTGTGATCAGTTATTTAATATGGTTGTCATTGTTGTTGTTCCATACCATCAGCGTCGCTGTCGCTCCATTTGATATTTTTGTTTTTGTTGTTGTTGTAATTTAAACTGATATTTTTGTGCTGGCTTATTTGTTGGCTTGGCTTGGCTGACTGTTGTTTTAAGTTTGTATAGTGTGTGCATGGGAATTTTTTGATTCGCACTTACTAGGGATGGGTATTTATTAAAATTTTCGAGTTTTTAGTTATTCGGTTTCTGATGGGGAATCAATCGGAAAAAATCGCCAGTCTTTAAAAAAAAAACGAATCGTGCATTTTTTTATACCCGAGTGCGCTTGTGCACAAGGGTCCGTTCGTAAATTCCATTGCGAACATACATATTCAAAAATGCGATAATTGAGTAACCACTGAACCTAAATTAACCAGAATTTAGTTGCCATGTTTTGCCAGACTTGGGCCCGTAATTTTTGTCAGAATAAAGTCGACTCTAGTTGCAACAATGTTTGATATTGAAAACTTTTGAAATCGAGCAATAACCACGCTCACGCATTACGTGTTATGAATAAAAAAACACACATTTTTTATAATGCACTTTTTTAAAAGCTTTCAAAATAATAATTTGGTAAAACCAAGAAATCGGGGTTTTACAAAAAAAAAAAAATCGAAACATTAAATAAAAATACTCATCCCTAGCACTGACCAATCGAGGTGAGACGAGTTGAGCTCGACAGCACGCCTGTGAGCTTGAATATGCGTTTACAACAACAAATGCATTGTATTGTTTACTGAATCTTGTGGGAATTTTGTGAGAGATGATCGACGTTAGTATGGTTTGTATGTGGTGCTCTGAGAATTCTTTCGGTTTTTTATGACATTTTTTTGTATCATTGACTCCACTTTACATAATCGAACTGTGGAAGGGACGTAATAACTGCTGTGTATCGAAAAACTGCACGATGGTATGAGAACCCTGCCTGTAAAAGACGGTCGAATAAAAAAGTGGAAATTTGCTTACATTTGAATAAACTCGGCATGGTTTCAACTTCCGCAATTTATGTATATGTATTTAACGAATTAATCGATGTGCTATACCGGCATGCATGTCTATGCTACTGGAGTTTGGATTTTTAGTAGCAAATAAATACGAATTGTTTTAATATTCTCCAACCAATCACATATAAACCAAAGTAGTAGAATTCATAATAAATATGCATCTTTTTTAGCGTACTTGTTTGTTGGTCATCTGCTGGTTGTAGCATATTATGGAAGAAACATGTCCCGAGTCTACTAATTCAATTAAATTGGGCATCGCTCAGCCATCAACAACAGCAACCAAAACGATAATTTCCGTCGCAAAGCAACAATCGCCTTTACAATCGGATTCGTTATCGTTGAACGAACAACCTTCAACTTCTAGCGGCTTGAACACGGCCTCAATGTCGCTGTTGCAGGAGGGATTCGTTGACTCGCAACACGATTTTGCCGAAGTTTTGGATGATGAGACGACCACTTCCGGTGTGCTAGAAACATTTGAAATAAGTTCATCAAACTCACTACCGCCGAGTTGCTCAGATGTGCACAGAGAGGTTGTTGTGGATGATAGTTCTTCAACGGATACCATAAAATTGGTTGAAGTATCTAACAGTACCTCTTGCAATAACAAGTTTTTTAATGTTTCTGAGGTGTATGTAATCAACGATGATGATGACGACGATGATGTGCCCGAAGTGGAAGAAGGGGAAGTGGAAGATGAAGATTTGGCGTCAGTAAATGAGACAGCTATGCATCCACATAGTGTCCAAGATAGCGATAATCAGCATCAACTTAGCCGATTCTCGAGCAATAGTACGAACAGTCAATTGGGCAGTGTTATTGTAACTAATGGAGGCGCGACAATTTACCTTGAAACGCCGGTAGTCGAAGAACAGCATCAACATCATCTTCAACTCAGTGAAGGGGGCGAAAACGGCGAGTTCGGAGAAAAAGCTGGGAAACCAAAACGTTTAAGCGATGAATTTATGCTAACAGATGAGGCCGAACCGTTTGGTAAAGTAAGTGAAAACAAGTCCCGAAACACAGATGGTGAAACTAGTGCGACAACCACGTTTGAAGGAGTAGGCAGCAATGAATTATTACCGGATCGCGTGTCATTTCGATTGAAAGAAATGAATATTAATAACTCAGCGGGTACAAAGATATGCAAAAATAATCCTTGCAATAATTCTGATAACTCCGCTGATAGGCCTTCCAGTTCCAAAAGCAATGAGAATGAAGTCGTCTTATTGCCAGCGCCCAGTATGGCAGATATCGAATCTATGGATTTAATAGAACGCCGTGATTTTGAGACAGAACAAAGGCTAACAGATGGTCTTATATTAAAAGGTAGCTCTTTAATAAATAATAATATGATTAACTTGAGGCTGATTAATGCGTCATGGAACACAGAAACACATCGGGGAAAGTTGGAGCTGGAAGATGATTGTCCCAGCAGCAGCAGCAATATAAATAATAGTAGTCATAGCAATTTTGTTGGGCGCGCCGTTTCTTCAGACAGCAAGGTATGCACGTTCGCTTTATAATAACGTCTTTTTTTTTTTTGTTATATTAAGTCAAAATATTTTTATTTTACAATTAACCTTTTCATACAGTGTGCTTACAAGGATCCTGCGTCAACGCCAACGAGTAGCCGCAACTACAACAGTCGTTTAACCAAATCAACTGCCAAACTTAATTTGTGCTCTACTCTAAGTCATCCTCAACATCGGCAAGTGCAACCGCTTCAGGATCGGGCCATAAGTGCCAACAATTCCACAAAAATATATATAAAATCACAGCAGCCAGGCAATAGTAACAATAAGAGTCTGATTTCATTATCCTCATCATCCCATACTTGTACTTCAATCTCGTCTGCATCTACTTCTGCATCTTCGTCATCCGCATCTTCAGCATCATCATCAACTTCATCAGTAATTGTGGAGGCACGCAACGCAACATCAGTTTCATCATCGTCGTTGCCAGGTACCCCTGCATGCACCATCGGTGGTAGTGGCGTCGGTGGCGGTGGCGCAGCCGCGGAGATATACTCCAACTCTAATTCAAATGACAGTCTTATGAGTAGCGCATCTACAACTACCAATTGCCGCCATCGGCAGCAGCAACAACCGCCAAACGGATTGGCTGATAGGTCAGAGGTTGGTGGCTGTAGCCGCACCAGCTCAATACACGCTGCTGTGGCAGAGGCTGAAAACAATGCAGTAGCTGCAGCGGCTGCCAGCTCTAGATCAGCGCCCGCTTCCGTTTTTGACGACGCCCAACCTTCAACTTCATCCGCACGTTGCCAATATGCTCCGTCCGTGAAGAGTTTGCGTCAAGTGCATGCCAGCGCACAAACCCATGAGCGGTATATCGGTCGTGGTGGAATAGCAACTGTGGGAATTAGTGGCCCAGCTGTATCCGGTAGCGGCATCAATTTCCAGCTGGCATCTAGCAGAAGCCGGCGTCGTGCCGACTTGGCCGCTCAGCTGAATCGCAACAATACCTCTGAAGAAGTAATCACTGCAGCTTTTAAGGTGATGGCTGAAGCGGCGGCAGCAGCCGCGGTGGCAGATTACAATGACGAATCTTCATGGGCAGACTGTGACGAAAATACTTCTGATGAGGAGATTTGTACATGTCATCACAGCAGCAGCAGTAGTGCAAGTAATAGTAGTCATGGCGGTAGCAATACCAGTCTAAACGAAACGGACACTGATGCAGCGGAAATTTCTTTTGGTGGTGGCACTGTCAGCTGCGCTGCCAAGGATGGCGATTTATCAAATTACATACAAATGGTTTCGATATCGGAGGAGGTGGGCGGCAATGGTGCCGCTAACTCCACCACGGAGAACACGTCCAATTGTGCATACTTTAATGCCCAACAACGTAAGCGGAAATACAATGATAACCGTCTATTAGGCGCCGATTCTGGTGCTGCTGTTTCCAGCAATGGCAGCGGTTCTAACATGGATGATGTCAATTGCAGGAAACGTATAGCATATGATTTTACCTCAACGACACGCCACAATAGTGCTTTAGTAGCTTTGCCCTCCACACCAACAACACAAATCGCGCAGCTGACCACCATCAGTAATTCTTCAATGGGTCGTCGTACACCGCGTTCCATCATACCAACACGAGAGAATCCACCACCCGAATTGCAGCATTGGTTGTCACAATTCCAACGCTGGACACATGTTGAACGACTCATGGCGATCGATCGCCTGATTGAGCATTGCGAACCGACACAAGTCCGTCATATGATGAAGGTGATTGAGCCACAATTCCAGCGCGATTTTATTTCGTTGTTGCCGCGGGAGCTGGCATTGCAAGTGCTCGCCTATTTGGAGCCAAAAGATTTATTGCGCGCTGCGCAAACTTGCCGCAGTTGGCGCTTTTTGTGTGACGATAATTTGCTTTGGAAGGAAAAATGCCGAAAAGCACAAATACTCACCGAACCGCGCACGGATCGACCGAAACGAGGTCGCGCTGGCAATATGCCGCCAATTGCGTCACCATGGAAAGCTGCTTACATGAGACAGCATATCATTGAAATGAATTGGCGATCGCGGCCAATACGCGAACCTAAGGTATTGAAAGGGCACGATGATCACGTGATTACATGCTTACAATTCTCGGGTAATCGGATAGTGTCAGGCTCAGATGACAATACTTTAAAAGTTTGGTCGGCTGTCACGGGAAGGGTAAGTTGTAGACAGTATTTTGTATAAATACAATTTTCTAATGCCATGCATTAATCTATCTTTAATTTTTCCTTTATTAGTGTTTGCGTACGTTAGTTGGTCACACTGGAGGTGTGTGGTCATCTCAGATGTCGGGCAATATTATAATCTCAGGTAGTACCGATCGTACACTGAAAGTCTGGGACATGGATACTGGTCAGTGCTTGCACACATTGTTGGGGCATACCTCTACTGTTCGATGTATGCATTTGCACGGTAATAAGTAAGTGTGCGCCATTTTTTTAAAAACATTTCGATATTGTTTAATTTAAATTAATTTTATTATTTTTTTGCTTTAGGGTCGTTAGTGGATCTCGCGATGCCACGCTTCGTGTATGGGATATAGAACAAGGTTCATGCTTGCATGTGTTAGTTGGCCATTTGGCAGCAGTACGTTGTGTGCAATATGACGGCAAATTGATTGTTTCGGGAGCTTATGATTATATGGTGAAAATCTGGCATCCCGAGCGCCAGGAATGCCTACACACATTATCAGGTCATACAAATCGTGTTTATTCGTTGCAGGTAAATATACAGTGTAACGCACAATAAACTTTGAACTCGTTTCTAAACACAAATTCACACAGATTGTGTACAAATCCATATGTCGAGTAATACGACCTTTGATTTAGTTTCAATATCGGCATAAGCTATCAAAAATTAAAACAAATTTTATTAACACACATATTAGCTAACTTACATTTATTTACGCCTTTTCTTCATCTTCTAGTTCGATGGTATGCATGTTGTATCTGGATCTCTAGATACCTCCATACGCGTGTGGGACGTTGAGACAGGCAATTGTAAACATACACTCATGGGACATCAAAGTCTTACTTCCGGAATGGAATTGCGGCAAAATATTTTAGTCTCAGGCAATGCCGATTCAACGGTCAAAGTGTGGGATATAACAACAGGCCAATGCTTACAAACTTTGTCAGGTGAGTGGACAAGTGTATTTTATGTAAACAAAAGTTAAAGGTAAATACACCACTGTCTGCCTTCCAAAAATCGAACTACAGTTGTAAAGGATGGTGATAAGGCTTTCAACAACGAATTTAGAATAATTTCAAAATGTTCTAGATTGTAAAAATTATCCATTCCGAAAATATACATACATATGGTCAGAGAGCATACAACTGCGAATAAAAAAAAAAAAATAAACAAACTTCACTTTACTAACTTAGCCACTATCGATTCGCGAGCGATGAAAGTACTGAGCTATTCTGTTGACAGTTGAGAAAGAAAGTACTGAATCAGTTCGTGGGCAGTTAGAAAGTAAAAGAAAAAATGCAATACTATTAAAAGTGTGCAAAGAAACGTAAAATATGGGCTAAAAATTTAAGGCGGACTCACTGAGAAAAGTTCTGAACGCTTTTGAGTTGTAAACTCAACTTCAACTTAAACTAAGAACTAGAACGATCAATCTGTATGTGATTGCAAATTATTGGTCTTTGGGGGCAGACTTAATTTTTAAATAAATCGCCACCATTCTCTAACATGACGCATAAGTTGTGATTCTGGTCGAATGCTCTCTGCCGTTTCTGCGATTAAACTGGGAAGACATCATTGCACCTGCTCCTTGAATGTGATGCCGTATCGAGGCGACGGTTGAACAACATATGGCCCGAAAGAGAGCACATACACTCACTTCTTACCTCTAAAGGCTCTCCTGGAATTTCTGGAGTAGTTGTTGTTGGAGTCTATAGCGGTGATGGGCACTGCCTTGCTCGCGGGCAAAGCTCTTTTAAGCTTTCTATACATTTCGTATAGGCGCTTGCTGAGTAAAAGCTCTCTCGGCCCATCGCTGGTCTATAGGAATGAAATATGTTTTGTGATGGGTGGAGGGCACAATGTATCCATACTCACGATTATCTGTATATCTATCTAACATGATGCAATGATCACTAGTTACTATTTCAACACTCGTATATGTATGCACGTTGTTCTAACGACATTTTCCAACCCAAAAGGTCCCAATAAGCATCAATCGGCAGTAACTTGTCTGCAATTCAATTCGCGCTTTGTGGTAACGAGCTCAGATGATGGAACAGTGAAATTATGGGATGTAAAAACCGGTGAATTCATACGTAATTTGGTCGCATTGGATTCAGGCGGCTCAGGTGGCGTTGTCTGGCGTATAAGGTATGTAATAAATGGTTTTTGTTTTATTCTATGTATAGGGTATACATACTTCCAAATGTACGTATATTTATTCCTCTTTACTAATTTGTAGGGCAAATGATACCAAGTTAATATGCGCCGTGGGTTCGCGTAACGGCACGGAGGAAACCAAACTAATGGTTTTGGATTTTGATGTAGAAGGAGCTTGTGTGAAATGTTCATAGAAGATGCGCCTGCAGTCATTAGCAAAATAAAAATCAATATTATTAAACACACATTACACCGAAAGAGGAAATATTCATAGCATAGGTAGTATTTGTATGTATAGCGAACAACGCTCCTCACAACAAAATCTCCACAAAGAAAAACACGGGGAAACTAAAGAAATTATCTCTTACAATATAAACTTTATCATGTCATGCACACCGCGGACGTTACACACAATTCTGATTGTTAAATTTCAACATCTAAGGCTGCATTTTTATTCTTGAAACAAACTTTTTCGTTTACTTATTAGTAAGAATCCGGATATGTTATCGTATATTCATGACGCATTCTATTTATTCGATCCGAGAGATGGGGTTATCTAAAATGTATGAAGAAATGCAGCCAAAGTTTTGTGTAGAGATAATGATAAAGACTTGCTAGGCTAAGGAAAAAATATACTTTGCCGTTTAAAAATGCATTTAGAAATGCTGCAATTGCGAATATATATTATATGGCACAGACATTTCCGTCACATTAAAGTATGAATCTTGAGCTTATTGGATGATAATTATACGAAAGGCCAAATACATACGTACGCATAACCGGCTAATAATATTATTTGAGATTCCTTTTTCAGTAATGAAATGTTGAAAATCAATATAAAATTTTGATTAATTTATAAAATATGATACTATTTCAAGTATAGCAGCTTACTCGTATACATACATATAAGTATATAAAGAGCGGATAAAAATTCATTAATACCTGTATGTATTTCGTCCAATGCGACACTTCAATTAATGTCAGCTCGACGGAAATTTATTGTTCCGCCTGTGCATGCTATGCTCGTTATTTAGACCAGCAAGTAAAGAAATTGGTAATGGTTAACGTACCGCAAAATTTGCGAGAAACCAGTTGAGGAGAAAATTTTAGAAATTACATTTAATTTTGGTATAAGTATGCAATGCGTTTTATATTTTCGCACATAGTAATTCATAAGCACTCGTAAAGGTTACGTACCTTTTTTGTCTTACTAGTACAACTAATTTGTATTTTTTAATGTTTATTTCAATTAGTTATAGCTATTGAGTTTGTATTTAACACTTTTTAAACGAATTCGTTTACCAATGCAGATATATAACGCGCAAGTGGGAGGGTAATCTTATAAAGTGTGTATAGATTACTTTTAATGAGAGCTTTATAAACTTTAAATCACGTATACGTAGCGATACTGTTTGCAATTACATATATACATTTAATAAATATTTTAATTTCGTTTGTTTTATCGCGTCAGCTCTAAATTATTGTAACAGCAAAGCGCTTACTGGTTTTATATATTTTACATAGATTTGTTTACATGTTTGTTTTTTAATCGAACCCTTCAACTCGTAGCGCTTCGTATTGACAGCCGTTTATAAGCGTATAACTATATTCTGTTAAATATTTTTAAAACACTGAAGCAAAAAACTACCATGCCAACATATTTTGCTATCGCGATTGTAAGCAAGTAATTGGAGTAGATTGGATTTAGGCTTTCAATTGAAAATTATGTTCTTCCACAGAAATCACCAACAACTGCGTGCTACGCGCGGTGGGTTGGTGGTGCGTAATTTGTTATACAAAAATGTAGTAAATTTTGTTTTTCTTTTAAACAACTCAAGCTTGTAAGAGTCATCACGTTAATAGTTTTGTTTAAAATGTGTTATTAAACCAAACATTCACACATACAATTGTTAGGATATATATTAATATTAAAAAATATTTTGTTTATCTGTAATTTTGCGGTTTGTTAGCGTCGTTCGATTAACAAAAGTCCAATATTGTTGTAGTTTGTTTAAGCATAATTTTCAATCTTGAAATTGCAGTTGTAATTTTTGTTAAAGAATTATCGACGTCCTTCGTCAGTTTCCCAATTTGTAAATTTGGCTTATTACAGTTTCATTTAATTATGTATATTTGCCACTAACATTGCCATGATTAGGAGCATAACATCTCAAAAAAATCTGAAGCGATATTTTTATACATACATACATACTACAAACAGCAATAAGCTAAATAAATTGAACAAATGCAAACCAATCGCATCTAGTAATTGCAAATATGGTTTGAATTAATAAAGTAGCTGTTAGACGTGGCAAGTGCAAGTCCTTTTCAAAAGTCTGTCAAATTCAAGAATTTCCAAAAGAGATTGCAGGGCGGTACCTTGCGTGTAAAGTGGCTTCGAAAGCCACTTTTTTATTTCTGAAAATCAAACTTTCCGATACTACTTTTTGTCTTTACACGGTGAACGCAGACAAGTCCACTTTCAGGCATTTTTATGCTTATAACAAAATTAATGACCTGAAAAATGTACTAAACCTGCTAAAATCACAACAGTCACAAAACAGTCTAATACTTTAATACTTAAATACTCCATATCAGTAGAATAAATTAATTACACGTATATTTCATACTATATTCAACATTAATAAAATTTTATACAAATTCGCTAAAAACGCGGCACACGTCAACAGTCGATCGGTTTGACAGCACTTGCAGGAAAAATGAAAATTGCTAGTGCAGCACGAGCAAGTTGAAATTATTTCTTGAAAGCGATTTGCGTAGTTTCAGTTGCAGTTACTCCTTGCAATTTTTATTACCAAAAGTGATTTCTCCAAATCTGCAAAGTAGACTTTCGATTTCGCATTTTGTCAGCGAAACGCGTAGAAAAAGCGCTTGCATTGCCACGTTTAACCGCACCTTAAGACATATAATTCGTGTAGTATGTATACATATGTTTTTGTTAAAACAAAAGAAACGCACACATGCATAGCCAGCACCAAAAAAATCATGCTACCGGGTTAAAGAATGAATGCAAATCATCAGTTTCCGAGGGTGTTGAAACTAACACTAAGCCCTTTTGATAATATTTATAAATTTCTTCGTTTGTTTATAAGCTATCGTACATACAAATGTGCAAACTACGCGCTCGAAGCCCGTTCATGTGTGCGTGTGCGTACATACATAAATATAATAGAATTATAAGTGAAGCATAAAAAAGCAGCATACAGATTGAATATTAAATTTTAATTATAGACTGATTTATTAGTAACTAATCTATATTTTAATAATCTGTACTGTATCAGTTTAAGTATAATGAACAAAACCAACAACTACATTGTGTAGAGATGCGATAAGTATAAAATAAAGCAAAAAAAACGAAACAAAAATCAGGTCCAAATCTCGCCGTCGCATTAAATAGCAGCAGCAGCAGCAGCAACAAACTAAGCAAAACATGTCGGCTTCATTCATGCGACAATACATTTATTAGATATGTATGTATGTACATATGTACATTCATACATATGTATGTATATGAAACATTCATTCATTGTTCCATGCATTGCATTCGCTTGGAACACGCCGCTCCGCAAGCGCTTGCTGTTTGTACGTTTGTTGTTTGCTTGATCTGTGTGTGCACGAGCGTATCAGCTACTATTGTAAAACATTAATGTATGCATCTATTAATTAATATACTAAACATCTAAAACAAAAAATAAAAACAAAACTTATTTGCATAAATTCATATATACAACAAAGTAATGCAAATCAAGTACATATATATCTATAATCGCAATAAATTCATAAATTGATTAATAAAATACAGTAAATGTAAAAATAATTTGAGTGCAATTGTATTTTCTCTTCTACGCGTCAAAGTTGGATTATAAAAGAAAAAATAAGTATTTCTGTAGTGTCCCTACAAAACAACGGCCGTAATCCTAGTATGTACTCCGATTGACGGTTGCCGTTTATCCACCTAGACAAGGCTGCAACAGTTGCTGGGGCAATAGGGAAGAAGACGGAATATAGTAAAACTGCGTTTTTAGTTTTTCTCTCTGACGTCAGGATTTCTTTTAAAGGACTGAAATCTCAAGGATATGAGAAATTAAAAAAATTATTTCAAAAATTCAGTGCAATGTAGAATATGGGTGTCAAATTAATGAGAAAACCTTGCAAGATTGAAAGAAAATGAAATGTTTGGTGCAGAAGGACGAAAGGGCATTGAAATTGTCTTTTTAACTTTATTAGCTTGCGATAAATTTTTTTTTTTAAAGGACATTTTCTATACCTATTAGTCCTTGTGCACGAAAAGTTTTGATGCTTTTCAATTCTATGGAATCTTCGCTCTCATTTAGTACCCATATTTTTATTCTACATTGCACTGAATTTTTTTTTTAATTTTTGTGAAGTTTTCATATCCTTGAAGATTAAAAGTCCTTTAAAAAAGATACTGATGTCGGAGAGATAAAATAAAAAAGCAGTTTTGCTGAAATTGGCTCCTTGTTTCGTAAGTATGTATGTATATTGTTTCGTGTGTTTTGAATTTTTTTTGGTTTTTGTCGCACGTTGTAATATGTATGGAGAGTCACATGACTATTTACTCAACACAAAATTTTTTGATTAACTTCCGGCCGTATACGTAAGTTTTCAATTCCGAGCACATGAAGGTTAATAATCAGTCAGGTTCTGCAATTCACATCCGAGTGAATTTCAACCCCTGCCAATTTGAATTCAAAGCGCTTTATATCGGAATTCACTCGAAAGTGAATTGCAGAACCTGCCTGAATAAATATATACCTTAGACTTGACTACAAAAAAAAAAAACATTGCAAAACACTATATTTCGTCAGTTATAAATTCATATTTATTATTCAAAATACTTCATGGCTTGCAGTTTAAAAGCTTGCAAATACATTGGTTTTATGAGTATATTTATGGTTACAAATATTATGTATAATACCGCATTGGAATACAAAATTAAAGATAATAAACAAAAAAGTACAAGAAAATGCCATTCAGCCAGTTTTCGTTAGATTAATTAAATAACGATTTCAATTGCTTATACCACAATATATTGAACTAAATATCTTTGCAAATATATGTATTTAATTGATCACTGTGGTATACGTTCGTAATTGTTAAAAAACGTAAAAAATAAATTTAATACAAATTGGACCGCTCTCTTGACACTCTTACATCATGATAATCGGATCAGCGTCCGCCTCTTGCCATTCCTACACCTTGGTGCGTTTGTTGTTATGACCCTCGATGCCAACATTACAACGCGATGCTAAGTCTTGGGCTGCAGATGTTCCGCCGCTGAATGCTGCTGCTGACAGCGCCGAAGAAGTAGCACCGCCACCCAAACCACTTAAGGTCATTCCACCATTACTTGGACGTTTTCGATTTGGCGAAGTCACTGGAGACTTTTGCTTCAAACACTCTACATCATCAAATACCACTTGAGCACCACCACCACATGTTGGAATGACATTACCTTTGTAGAGCTTAGTTTCGACATCGCCATCGGTGTCTGCCTCCTGAGAAACCAGACAATATTTTGTGTTCTTGTGATTGGTAAGCTCTTTGGCATCAGTTAGCTTGGTGATCGATTTACGATTTTTAAGATATGGTTGCAGAATAGTGCCGAGAGGTACAGGGTTAGGGGCACGATGTTCGATCCACTTCTCACCAGCTGAACGTGAACGCCGGTGCCTATTGTTTGCTGCTGCCATTCCCTGTAGATGAGAGTAAAAAAAAAAATTAAATATAGATGCATTGTCATCATATACTGCAAGTACTCACCCTAACATGACGCGGCGTCGAATACAGCTCAGTCCGCGCACTATTTATTTGTGTGGACTCAGCACGATTAGTGGATGGCGGCTCTGCAATGGCCATCTTATCATCGAAGCCATTTTCATTACTATTCCGCCGTACCATACTAGGAATATCTTCCGATTGTATAATGTCTGACACGAGTCGTAGCTTCTCATCCCGCACACGCATCTTTTCGCGCATTTTATCGCGTTGTTCACGTAACCTGATTTCCAATTCACGGTCTTTTTTGTCTACTTCAACAGCTAGCTTGGATGTAAATTTCTTTTTCTGTTTCTCCTTCTCTTGCTCCTTTTGAGTTAGCATATTTTGCTGATCCCTTAACTTTCGCGAAAGTTCGTCAATCTGCCTTTCCCGATTACCTAGTTTATTGTTCAGTTCGTCGATAGAACTTTCGTGAACACGTAATTTATTTTCCATTGCCAACATTCGTTCGCGTTCCTGCTTATAGACAGTCTTTAGTGACGCCAATTCAGTACGCAACTGTAAGTTTTCCCGTTCCATTTGCATCAAATGTGAGCGGAAGTTATCGCATCGAGTCTCCAAGTCAGCACACAATATTTTGCGTTTCTCTATGCGTTGCATTAAATACTGCATCAACTCTTGTATGGCGGTCTGAGCTTCAGGACTGTCGATTTTGTAGTCAGGGAACCCAGGGCCTAGTGAGTATACTAAACCAATATCCACATCCAATTTATTGGCATCTGTGTAACCCAAGTCATTGAGGTTGTTGACCGCAATTTTAAAAAGCTTATTTGCCTTTCGGCGCCCAGGCGTTAACCCAAGATCTGGCTTCATGGGCGTGGCGCGAGCAATCTGGACCTCTTGTGTCATTTCGGCAAACTTCATTACTTGCTGAGCGTACAAAATATAAGAATACAATGAAATAAGTATAAATAAAAAATGATTCCAAGCTGTGGAAATTACTTGAAAATAATGCTCTCCCCATCATACTTCAGACGTCGAATAGATAATACCAACAAAAAGATTTTATTCATCTTACCGTGTTTTCATCATAGTCCTCCGCACGAGGATTGATACAGACTATCATAGACACTTGGCCTTCACCATCAAAATAATTTTTGAACATATGTGTAAGCTTTGAGTCACGATATGGAATTTTTTTTGGTGCACAATTCGGTGATGCCTGCTGATTTTCGCGTAGGTACTCGAGGCAGGTGCGCAGCGTCATCAATGAGTTGTTAATACTTGAAGCCTCACGCAATCGCATGCCTGTGTTTTTAGTACGGGATGAACGTTCACTGCCTGCCAAGTCGACAAGCGAAAGCTGGCTCACAACAATGGTGCGCTTATCCTGGACGACGTGTTCACCCTTACAATCAGTCGGAGCTTGCACCAAACGTATATTAAATACAGAATGACTTCGACTAGACTCTGCATTTAGGACTGTATGACCCATACGTTTGCGTTTTTGACCAAACTGGAATGCTTCGATCGCTTCCTCCACCGATTTTATTTCTATTTCTGTGACGCCGTGTACGAACATATTATGATTGGCATCTGCTCGAATAATTTTGCTTTGCAAAGTTCTAAAGTAGACGAATTTAGAAAGATACATACATTTTTTGTAAATATATCAAATTGTTACTTACTTCTGAGGCGCGTCTTCCTCCAGAAGGTCGTAAACACTATTATTATAAATCTCAATGTAAGTTACAAAAACAGCAAACATGTTGTCTTCTTCAAGTCCTTGTAGAGGTGGTATATCACACGAAGCTTGCGATGCGATTTCAGGGTCAGAATCTTTTCGCCTTAGAGCTCCGCGTTCACCAGCTGCGAACCTTCTATTCATTTCTGCCTGCCGCTCAAGAAGGGCGTCGGCTTCTGATGATATTTCAAAACCATTAAGTTTGTCAGGTTTGAAGATATACTTTTTTGCCTGGTAATCGGATATTGTTTTGAACAATGCATCCAAACAACGTGGCATTATGCCGCGGTGACGGGCATCTCCTGTCATTGTGTATGTTTTACCACTACCAGTTACGCCATAGGTAAATAGTAGGCTGTTACGGCCACGTATAAGATTTTCTACCAACGGCTGGGCAACAGAAGCGAAGACATCAGCTTGTGATAAGTGTGGTTCGAAGACGTGTTTGAATATGTACTGCAACTCACGTTGTGCTCCTTGTTTGGTCTGCAAAGCCTGCTCAGGTGGAGTCAGCACAACGGTGGTCGTGTTTTTCACACGTACACATGATAAATCAGCATCCGATTGCAATGGTCGTACGCGACAATAAACATGGACGGGATCGCGTGGTTTATTGGCATCATGATCCGATTTTCGTTCAGTATGCTGTGTTTGGCAACGTGGCGTTTTTGGTAAACGCAGTGGCGTGCGTGCGCTATAAAATACAATGTTATACCAAGTCCTACTTTGAAATCAATACTACTTACATTGCCTTCATGTTGTCTTAGAGAATGTAAATGTCTTATAAATTGCAGGATGTTTGGTTCATAAAAATTTTAGCAACTTAATTTCCATTAACATAGGTGAAAAAGTCACAAATTTTGTTGTCCTTGCACCTATCAGTTATTTTGAAAGCTAGTTGACGTTTGAAAGGCGCGCTATTTCAGCTGAAAACAGGGTCGCTGTCCTTTGACATTCTCTTTATTTTTACGCTAGGGGCGCATGTAGCGACAGAGAAGAAAATGTTTTGTTAAGCAGCGTTCTTACGCATTTAAAATGCACTTTCGAATAATTTTTCGATTTAGCAAATGTACAATTAGGCGAGTTCGAAATCGTATGCTTTTAACCAGTGCTGCCATTTTGGTGCTTTTGGAGCTAGATTTAAGAGCGAAATACACCACACAAGCGGTTTGACAAACCAAGCGAAATTTCCCTTTGCTTCAAGCCATTTGTGCTGTGTATGGGTGTGTTTGAAGGTTTGACAAACCGCTTGAGGGAAATTTGAGCAAAAATCAAAATTTTTTGATTTTCTGGCCGCCATGTTGATGTTTGATCAAACCGCTTGCGTTGTGTGTAGCAAAATCGCCTCATTCGCAACGAAATTTTCACCGAGTAAGGACGTAAGAGAGGAAAATGAAAGAAAACCATAATATTTAGCATTGCGAACTGGAAGAAAACTAAAATTCTTTGCTTGAACGAGTCATGTTTGCATGGTGTATGGCGAAATGGGAAAAGTAGGTTTGAAGAATGTTTGACAAGCCGCTTGTGTGGTGTATTTCGCTCTTTAGCATTTTATTTTTCTATTTAGCCCCAAAAATCGGGTTTTAGCTTCGAGCTCTTTTTTAGCCCTTTTCAAATTTGCCTAGCTCTTTTTTAGCTCCAGAAAGTTTCAGTTGTATTTGGTTTATATAAGCCAAAACTTAAACGTTGCTAAAATTAAAAATTTCGAGATGCGGTGTATCCACCATAAACTCTTGGATCTAGGTTAAAGAATTCAAAAATTTATTAAAAGAAAATCCTTTTTTCTGATAGCGCGGATTTTGGTTTACCTTACTAATTTTACCTTTAAGGAGAGCTGGAAGTAGCAAAAACAGCCCATAAAACTTTCCTGAAAAATTTTGCGAAAAAATTATTCAATTCAAATATCTGAAATTAGAGACTTTAACAGTTTGTAAAGTATTTTCAATTCACTGTTATAAGTGCCATAGCAACAAATTCGAAATATGTATATGCACCTTATTTTGGTTTTAAAAGATTTTTTCAGCGAAAATTCGTTGTTTTTATTAAAATTGCCGCGTAGAAATAGAGTTGCAATTTTGTATGGATAAATGTGCATTTAGAGTAGCATTTAGAGCTAAATGTGTTTTTACGCGTAAGCAAAAACAGCCCATTATTAAATTTTTGAACCTAACCGATATAAGCACCTCATTGGGCCTCCGCACACTAGACCTCCCAGTCCGCTTAAAACCGGTTACATACCAGGGATATTCACAAAACTAAGCAAAGGACCTGGCACTCTGACATAAGAGCATATTAGCTATGTCAACAGTCGTTGCTTGAGCTAATGTGCTTGTTGTTGCTTAACAGTTTGGAGTGACAGTCTTTGGCCAGATATAAACCTTGGTCGCTCCAGTTACGTCGACCCGACTGTCGTGGGAACGACAGTTTCTAATGTGCTAATGTGCTCTTTTGCTACAGAGCCAGGCCTCTTACTCAATTTGGTGAATATCTATACTGTGTGTTGTATTCGCAAGTATAGAAATTTAAATTGATTCTATTTAAATATGCACATATGTATTGTTAGGACACAAATGTATATATAAAAAACAAACAAGTCATTAATTCACATACTGTGCCATAAGGATTTTATTGGTCCACTCCAGCCGTTCTCTATTAACCCTATCTTTTTTTTTTATCAAGCATGGTAAATTAAGATCTCTCAATTCTTAGGTTTTGATTCTAATACAATTCAGTCTTTTTACAAACAAAACGATACTTTTAATTAAGCTGCCGTAAATTATATTCAAGTTATGCATATTTCAAGTTATCACAAAAACTAATAATTTTCCAAATTAATATTATAATTTACAACAGATATTTTTCTATAAAATACAAGGCGTAAATAGGTAAATAACCGTAATGTAATAATTTTTATATTGAAACAAAAAATCCGCTATTTTGTAGTCTTTGACAATTGATAAACAATTTTTCCTACAGGCATGCAATACTGTATTTTTCCATCTGACATTTTATTTTGCTTTTGCACTTCTGACATTTTCCAGCTTTTTGCTTTTCTTGCTCATATTGACGTTTGCATTTTGGATTTCACAATAATTTTGTTTTGCTGCGTATTTTCTATTGATGACGAATTTGTGGCAAATTTTATCCAATAAAGTCCTTTCGGTGTCTGGTTTTAATTGCATCCATTTTAAATTGAAAATAGTATAACTAAAGAAAGAATGCCTGCCAGAAAGAAGACTGGTGGAGCAGGCAACGGCGGTGGAAGTGGCAATACATCAGATGCATCCAAATACGATGATGATGCGTACCGACAAAAGAGACAGAGAAATAATGATGTGAGTATAAAATACGATTAATTTAACTACTTAAATAGGAATTTTTTACTATTTATATACAAAGGCAGTGAAAAAAACACGCCAGAAATCCAAGGAGACGGCAACTGAACGTAAACGTAATGTGGAGCGTTTAAAAAATGACAATATCAAGCTCGAAGCATCCATTAAAGAGGTTAAGGAGCATGTAGAAACTTTGAAGAATTTGTTGTTGAACAACGTGCAAAAGGAGGAGCAGGAAGCGGTTTTGCAACGGATTCTAAATGAGCCATCTGATGACGAGGGTGAAAGTTTTGATGATACATAAATGAATGGAGTTAGCGAGTTAGGTGAAGTAAATTATAATATAGTTTAAATACCAAATCCAATAATACAGCTATTACTTTAAAGGGCATGCTAATTCTGAATTTCTATGATGTTTATTTGCTTCAAAGCACCATTCTTTAAATCAAAACAATTATAAAAGAATCTTTAGATATGTACTAATAAAAAGTTATAAATTTTAATATATGTGCTTTTCAGTACTCACCATCAAAAATATCCAGTTTTGCTAAATGTAGTGAAAATACTTCGTCCATTTTGGTTTTTTCAATACTGCTTTTAGAGCAGCGGGATATCGTGGTGTATTTTTTGAGTAGTTATGGGCCCAAATGTCTTATCGTGAAGCGTTCACAACTAAAAATACGATAACCCTGATAACGAATACAAAACAAACACATGCTCAACGTAGCGAGTGCATAATAATACTGAATTAGTTAACACTATCAAATGTTGGGACGGCTATAGCAATATGAACTTTTTTTATTCGTTTAACACGCTTTACTCCTATTACTTCTGTGTATATATCTTTCTGTATGTTTGTATGTATTATAATAGCGTTTAAACCGAAAGAATGACGATTGCATTCACCCTGCTGCTTTCAATTGATTTCTTACAATTATTGTTTTGCGTTTGTGCTTTCTGCTCCGTCTGGATAGCTTCTATGCTCGCAGATAACCAAAGAGTATTGGAAAAGCAAGAGCGCGGGCGTCATAAATTGCTACTGATGCTCCATTTAGTCGCACACTATGAGAGATTAGAAAAGAATTTAAGTGAATAAATTTTCGAAATAGACTATGCATGTTTCATGGCTTAGTAATAGCTTCTATTGTACATCGTCGATGTTTTTGCAAAACCGCCTATCTTACGGCACTCAAATTTTACAGGAGAGCGAAAAAACGGTTTTTTTTAAGGTCATTGCCTTGATATGCGGTATTTTCTCGTTTTTTGTCACAACGGCGATTTAGGCGGTTTTGCAGCTGGTCAATGGGCGGTTTTGCAAAAACATCGACGATATGCATTTATGTACGTAATACGTACATACATACATATTTATTTTCGTAGGCGGATGGTTATTTTACACATATGCATGTACATATGTGTGTATATCGTCGTTTAAAGTACAAAACCTCGTATCGTCATTCTACAAAACCGCGTAACTGACATTTGCTGCCAAAAATTGGATTTGCGCACACAAGCTCTTGGCTCAATCCTTATCCATCCGTTCTGAAATATACTAGCAAAAATGCGATTGCTTTATAAAAAAGAGAAATATGAGTGTTTTTACTCTCTAGAAAATAACTTATGCAAACTCACATACGCGGTTTTGCAATATCATGATACGCGGTTTTGCATTTTGTTGATACGCGGTTTTGTACTTTAAACGACGATAAGCAAACATATGTATGTAAGTACCATAGATCACATTAATTTACGCCAATGAACTGAGTCGTGATAATTGTTTGCCAGAAAATGTTTACTTTTATCACAATTTTTTATGAATGTTATTGTTGTGAATTAAATCGAATGCTTCCGCTAATTTGAAGTGCTTGTGTTACTCAGATAAAATGGGCTAATATAATTTTTGTAGGTGCGTATGTACACACATATGTATGTATGTAAGTAGTACTTACATATGTACATATATATTTTTGCGTTGCTGCTTTTTTTGTAAGAATGGTATTTTAACACGAATAGGTACCACACAATAGACGGAAGCTAAACGCTTTAATTGTGGATCGATAACAAATAATGAAAAACACATAAAACAGCAAATAAATTTACTACTTATTTTTCCCTAATCAAAAGTCAACCGGGAAAATCAAAACCCATGGCGGAATTATACCAGGTGAACAACAAGAATGCGGCACTGAAACAACCTATCGCTATACAAAAATGTATACCTAATGATTTACATATTTACAATGCACATCCGGTTGACGCGATTCTGATACTGTGCAACTTTAATAAAGGTCTTTAGGAATACAAAATTGCAACAGCAACGAAATAAACAATGCACATTGCCAACAAACGTATGTAAGTACTTTGCTGCATTCTCAACAAACCAATAAAACTGTGAATAAATCAGACATTGTAAAATTTATAACACACGCGACATTGAATTTCACGAAACCAAATACACTTTAATTTTGGATTTCAGTATTATTTAAACCAATTTAAACCCTTCGCTAAGGCAAAAACAATATTTTTACTTCGCTTTTTGCATACGTAATTTCCGAAAAGAAGGAAAATCGAATAGCGAAAAGAGCATACTGCCAGTGGATCACTAGCCATTTTCATAAGCCAAAACATATGTTGACTTGCAAATACATACAACAAAATTTGAACAAGTGTGCATGCACACATTTATCTCTTCCGCAGGGTAAGCAATGCGCAAACTGTATCGAAGGCAACGTCAATAGCCACAACCGTAATTTCTCTTTTGCGTCCTAATTGCATGAATATACATACATACATATGTAGTAGGTCTTGCTGGCCCCAACTCTTTATTTATTACAAACGCCACCTTTTGTCTACGTAAAATACAGCTTATGTACATATGAAAGGGCCTAGCTGACATTTTTTCGAAATATGGGTCTCCGCATTTTTAAGTAGCTTATACTCAAACATATTTTCCTTGAAAATTTTAGGGACAAAACTTAAGACCTAATGATTGTATGAGGCCTTTCAAGAGCCCTATGCCCAGAATTGAATGTGCCGGAAATTAGGGTTCTTACTTATATATAGATATGTACGTACAAGAATGTCGTACATTCTACATATATTTTTTAACAACTTAAGTTTAGTTCTGCATCCGCCAATTTTTACAACAACAACGAAGTTACAAAACAAAAATAACGAAGTTACTTTATTGACGCATTGCTATGAAAGAGTTACTTTTTAACAGTGAGATTTGGCTACTGCCCCAAGAGGAGCATAACATGAATGAAAAAAACGGAATAGACTTGAAGTCCAGCGGACTAGAGGGTAGATTTCAATTTTTTAAAAAAACCGGAGTAAATCTAATCTGATTTTAGGGGAGTCCAAACACTAGTAGGGAACGAATTCTTTACATTTGAACGCTAATGACCCACAGATGGCGTGAAAACACAGGGTTGTATCAGACTTTCGACGTGGTTTCGAGTTGGTTAGCTTTTAAAGCTGAAATTAGTCAAGAACGTAAACTTACAGTTCTGAACACATTGAAAACGACGAGCTACCGACCACAGCTTCCAATTTGTCATCTTTATTATCTAAGCGCTTTGTCGATGGCGACATGATTTCTTTGAACGACATCATGAATTTGTATGAGTTTGACATAAAAGCAGAGGAAGAACCTTATCTGTCGCCAGAAAAATAGAAATATATCTAATCTGGCCACAACCACAGCCGTCGCGTAGCCCGGTCGTCGCCAAAATAATTATCTACATAAGAGTACGTGTTAAAATAATTTGACAGCTGTGGTTTGTAGCCCGTCGTGTTCATTGTTTTCGGGCTATACCGGTACGTAAACCCGAGTCAACTGACACGATCTGTCTTACCAGAGCGCAATGTAAATGAAAACTCAACACAGCAGAATTTTTCTGTAGTTGTAGCCCGTAGCGCAGAAATCTGCGGAATTTAGATTTTTCCGTGTCAGCTGATTTCTTTCTTTTATAGATGGTTGCCACTTCGTCAGTTTTGCAGATGGTAAACAAGTTATAACTTCCTATTCAAAATACGTTTAAAATGTTTGCAATTTCCCATTGAATAAGGTTTTTTGTTGAAAACTAAGTAGATTATATTTAGTTACGATGTATTGTAGCACGAAAAATTGTATTTGAAAATGTAAGTTTATGAAAAGGCATTGATGAGTGGCAACACTGTAGTAAGCAACACTGAGGGCTCCAGTAATCGACAAAATTCTGCGTATACAGACTGCGTTTAAGTATACGTTCTGCGTTCTTGACTAATTTCAGCTTAACCATCTCAGTGAAATGGTGAAGTGCTGTCATTTTTATATGGCGAAACTACGCTAAATCAAGTGGGTCATCGGGATAACCAACTCAATAGCCACAACTACGTGGTTAGCTCCGGTGGGGACATGGTATTACTGGCCGTCTCCATAGGTTAAAATATATTAGCTCTAATCCAGTACTCCATGAACTTACAGGATTTTACACGAACTTGCAGGAAGTTGCAGGAAAAATGTTCCCGTACTCTGAAATCCTCCAAAATCCTGTAAATGAGAGCGACTTTTGGAGAGTTGTGTAGAGAATGAAGTTGCAAGCTTTTACCCGAACTTTTTCTTCTGGTAAAATCATGAAAAGTGTCAAGCAATCACTGGTTGACGTTTTTACAGGAAAAATGGTTTTTTTGTTCTCGTACTTTTTGTTGTTACTCACTTTTTACTCTCACTTCAGAGAGTAATTTTGCTGTTTGACAGTTTTACAGGATTTTTCACGAAAAGTATTGGGTCAGAGCTATTGCTGTCCAGCTATCATTTTGGTCGCTAGATATAAGTTATAACAGTGGCAATATTTTTGTGGGCTTTTAATATGTTGATATAAGCATTTGTGAAATAGCTTCTATAACGTATTTTTGCAGGATTTAATCACTTACAAAATTTAGAAATTGGGCTATTTTACATCCAATTACCTAATAACAAATATTTTAACAGAAAACAGCTCAATATTTGCTTTTATATTAAAATATCAATAATGTTGCCGCCACGAAGTTTTCATGCAAATGAACATGTAGCTGTCAAACCAACCAAATTGCCGGCAATAGATGGCAAGATATAAGCTCAAATATATATTGCTCTTGAAGAGCAATGAGCGGTCTTCATTGGCTATTTGTATTCTAACATATGTATCAAGATATAAACTTTATCCTGTGGAGACGGACAGTTATTCGCAAAATCGTGATTACCACCATGATCCAAAAATATGTATGTCGTTCGTTCATGATTACTACCACCTTGTATGAATACGCCTTGAATACACGCTGTACTTTGCGTAGCTGATGAATGCTGAGTTGAGTATACGTAAGTATTTTTATATCATAAAATAGTGAGTATTGGTCATGTTTTGCTTGCAGGCTTTGTTTTTAATGCTGTTTTTTTTATACATACATACATATTTCAGAAGCATATAAAATATACAACTGATTTTAACAATAATGTTATTGATGGAAAAGGGTGCAAGGAGGTAAAGTGATTTCGCATAAGAGCTCATGAAATCTTAATGATTTACATATATAATGCACCGTATGTGGATATGTATTTATGTTTATTGCTTGCAGGCATTTATAAATACGTACATTGTCATGGATATGGAAGATATAGTTCATAAAATTAAAGCCGGAGTTTATAATCTATCATGGAAGGAAAGGCGCAATAGTGCCATTTGGAGCATTTTTGCAGAGATCAAAAAGGAAGACGGATCCATTTTGCAAGGTTATTTATGCTGTTCCAAGTGCATGCGTTTATTAAGATTTGATGGGAAGCGAACTTCTAACTTAAACCGACATAAGTGCTACTCATCTTTAAATGAGTCGGCAAGGATTGATAAAATTGATTTATCAAATGAATGCTCCTCGTCCGCTAGTGATGCCGACCAGAATTTCGATGACAGTGATCCGACTGTGGCGGAAAGTGAAGATAGTGAATCGCAGCATTGTGAGGTAAATATTTTGCGAATTTTAAATACATATTTAGCGTCCCCGTGATGCTAGAAGAATCAATGTGCAAATTTAGCAATTTGAAGTTATTGTGTTGGATGTTCTTTGTTATACCAAAACCGAGAATTAGAGCTGCAAAACTATCGATGGCACTATCGATAGTTTCAATTTGTCACTACTATCGATGAATGGTGGTCACTATCGCGATACTATCGGCAATCATTTTTCATCGCTTTTTTATTTTATTATTGGATGTGAGTTATAATTCCTACTTGAAGAATTCATAATTAGTTGTGCGATCGTGCATGTATGTAGGTATATACAAACTATGTTAGACAATTTTTTTATATGTAGCAAATAAGCAACACCTTCAACAAAAAAATTGCAAAAATCAACGGTAAAACCTGGGAACTTCAAACTTCCACTTTGGGCCTGTGCCAATCGGTAACTTTTTTCTCCGTGGTGACACGGGGTGTAAAAATTTGCTATGGTGTAGTACAAAAAATTTGAATTTTGCTGTGCCAAATGCAAAGTAAAATTTTGACAGTTGAAAAACCAACAAAACGCTCGTGCGAAAGCTTTGTTGTTGTGTGTTGCTGAAATTCTTATAATTTATATTTATTTTATAATTTGCAAGTGACTTGCGCTTTTTTATGCTGTTTCAGCTTTAATTTTCATATTCACTCTTTATTACCGCCAAGCAATATTATGTGTATACATGGTTATAAGCTGTCAAAATTTTACTTAGCCCCATGAGCTAGGTAAAATTCTGACGTTCGTATTCACCACGAGAAATTTCAGATTTTTACTTTGATCCGTCAAAATTTCATCTTTTCTATCATTTGACACAGGCTCTTTATACTAAAATTTAACAGACTAAAAAGTTCATACTCAAATTTTTTCTAATAAATATATTTAAAAACTACATTTTGATGCAACTTGTTCAAATTTTCCAATTTTTTTTTAAACGTTTGAAATATTGACTTGCTTTTTTTTGTTACATAACGAACTACATAAAAAAATATCAAAAATTAAATAAAAAAAACCGGATTAGTTAAAACTTGTTAAAATGTCCTGTCTCCATTTATATTTTTGCCGATGCATTTATACTTTTTTACATATTTGGCTGGCTAAATCGAAGACCTTGATCTCATACAACTGACTTCCTAATGAAAGTAAATTAATTGAAATGTATTGTTTTTGTTATTTAAAATATCAAACTTTGTTATGTTTAATAAATCACACTAAAATGGCGTTTAAAGCTAGCCTTCATATTTTTTCTACTAATTTTACCATGTTCAATATAATTAGTGCCGTAGTAAGGATCTCATATCTTTTCTCTCAAGATTAGCCATCTATTACCAACAGTATCGATACTACCGAATGGTGAGGCCCAAAACTATCGAAAATATCGAATGGTCCAACCATGATACAAAAAAGAAGGTAGTTCCATTTAATGACATTCGTTGTTGTTGCTAACCATTTGACTTTTAATAAAATTATGACATTTCATAAAATTCATGCTACCTGATCACCAGAGATAATATTTTTTTTTTTTTGTGAAAGTAAACAAAAATGTATGAAAATGAGTGAAGTTTAGTGAAGTTATTGAACATATATGAAAGGAGGGCTGCATGACCATCCGTCACCTCTCGAATTTAAGTACAGATTTCGATCATACCTTCTAGGTAATTTTTTAACTACTTAAAGAAATTATTGTTGTTGTCATAAAGATTCTAAAATGTATGCATGAACTTTATTAGGGCGAAACGAAACTATTTTGAGCTCGGAAACAAATGTTGAGTCTTCAAGTGAAGTAATGTTAAAATTTGAAGAGGAGTTGCTCAGTGAAAATGTTTTCAAACCACTTAACGATATTGAAATATCCGCAGAAGAAGAACTCGAGGTAAACTCCTTACCCTTTCGTTTTTATTTGATTTCTAATTTTTTTAAGTAGCTCGCAGAAGAGCATGAAGCAGAAGATTTCATCAGTCCACTCAAAGATGTGGAATATGATGGACTTGAAAATTTTGCCGGCTACATAATTTCGAAAATGGGGTTGATAAAACTAGGCTTCAGGACGCATGTAGAAAGTGATCAAAATTATACGTATGTTAACTGTTTATCGGAGGGCGGTCTGTACAAGCCTAATTCAAGTTTTTTGCATACATTGGAAATGTTGAATTCAAAATTTGTTGAAATTAATGGTGATTCGCTAACCACAAAGCCAAAATATTTGCAAAATCTGATGAGAAATTTAAAAGTAAATTTGGACCAAAATATTATAAAAAGATTTTATTTGGGAAGAACATTCTTTAGAATTCGATTTTTAAATCGCAAGATTAAAGAAACGAAAATTGTATATCAAAATAAGAAAATGAAAAAAATAACAACATAATGCACTAATGGTTTTTATTATAAAATAAAAAGAATAATTACAATGTAACAGTTTACATTTTATATATTTTTAATAAAAGAGGGGCAAACCACGTAAGTAAAAAAATATCAAGTACTGATTGTGAGTTTTGATTTGAAATATTCTCACATTGGTAAAAATATGGGAAAGAAAATACTCCGATGTGGCAAGGCCGTTGATAATACTGACAATTTATGAAACTTCAAAAAATTTTATTATCCGTCAAAAGTTGTTTATTGAAACTACCTTCTTTTTTGTATCATGGGTCCAACGATCGATATCGATAGTTTTGCAGCTCTACCAAGAATACAATCCGGACACGAAAATGGCATATTTTAAAATTGCAATTACATGAATATGTGAAGTTAAGTCTCAAAAAAAAAACTTTCAAACTTGATTTCCCAACATTTACATTTTTGCACATTCATGTTCCTGGCATAAGCGGGGATCGTGGTTCATGCAGGAACCAATTAGAATTGTGTAGGTGGATCATGAGTGGGAATGTCTTCTTATATGAAAATTTGATCATGTGTTCAACAGTCACCACCTCCTAAACTCGATCTCTACGGCGGAACTGTCAACTCATACATTAAATTAGATAAAGCCGATGCATCCCCACCTAATACAGAAACCAAACCAAAATGTTGTGAGGTAAATATTTTACTTTTATTGGACTACATCTAAATATTTATAAATTAAGTACAGTTGTCCACAAAATAATAGGAGTGCGATATTTTGACCAGTTTTGGCTATTTGTTTGTTATTTTTTTTATAAAAGTCTAGCTGGTTGTACAACAAACACCATATAAATTCAGATTTCAAACTTTGTACAAGAGTTATAAAAATTTCGCAAATTTTCATCCAAACTTAAAGCTTTTTAATCGGAATCCTTAGAAAAAATTGTGGTATGCAGTTTTGTAGCCCATTTAATTCTGCGAAAGAATTCCTTCGATTTTTGGCAGTTTTCTTTGCTGGCAGCGTCCTCCCATATAAAAGAAAATTGTCGAACATACTTTGTATGGAAAGAACGTGAAACCGTTCAACCAAAAAATCAACGGTGGTTTTTTAGCAACTTAAACTTGCACTTTATTGTACTATAATTGAATGGGCTACAAAACTGCACATTTTTTCTATAGATTCTAATTAAAAAGTTTGAAATTTGTGTGAAATTTTTATATACTTTGTGCAAAGTTTGAAATTTGAATTTATATGGTGTTTGTTGTATAGCCAACTATTCTTTTATAAAAAAAATAATAATAAACATTAAATTAACAAAAGACAAAATGCCAAAACTGGTCAAAGTAACGCACCCCTATTAATTTGTGGACAACTGTATATCTACCTGCTTGTCTATTTTATTGGGCTACATCTAAATATTTACTTTATGTTTAAAATTGGTACGTGTTTATGTGTATATATATATATATTAGGCTGTCCCAAAAAAATAAGTTGTTTTAACGCATACCCTTCTCATTTTATTGGCTTTGTCTTAAAATTTATCAGAATAAAATTTTATGCAATTCGGACCACGGCAATTCGTGCCGACGCGCAGTCAAAGTTACCCGAATAATCTTTTGCGCAGATCGCGTGTACTGTTAAGTTAACAGTAGGCGCATTCGTTTCGCCACTTCTCTGCCCGCTATGTAGCTCTGCGAGCTTGTCAGAAAATTTGTATGTGAAAGCAACAACAAAGTTAGCTATCACTGACGTGCATGGTGACACCTCATAAAACTGATATAACAGCCTCACCCAATGCTGCCAAGTTTATTTTCTAATATTAGACAAGTTTTATTACTGCCAAACATGACAATTTCAAATTTAACATTTTTGAAACAGCAAACAGAATTTAAAATCAAAAATGGCAGCAGAAGATAAATCGTAAGTATTTAGTTTTTGTTTTTAAATAAAATAAGCGTTTTTTAAAGGAAACGCAAGGTGTGGACAGTGGTCGAAACCAAAGGTTTGCTGAAGTGCTACTTGGCCCGGAATGGGGAGTTTCTTCACACTAGGAAAAAAAGAAATGCCTATGCTCATGTTTTGGGAGACATGGTAGCACAAGGCTTCACAGTAAGTTGAATGAGTCTTTTTGAATTGTGTGTTTTTAAATTGTTTTATTTTTATATAGGACCCTTCCACAACCCCGGTTGCATTAGAAGACAAAATGCGGACTTTGTTGTCTGCCTTCAAGTGCGCGAAGGACAACGCACACCCTTAATGCGGGCACTGTGCAAGCACAAGCGCTGGCGGTGCCATCTCCTTCGGAACCAGCAGCAACTCAACAGCTAGTCTCCTCCCACCATTCAGCAGCACCAATATATCACACACCATTCTACAGGCAAGGTGTATCTCCAACGCCAGCAACATCACACCGTCCCGTTTCCACAAAGCAGATATCCCACAAATTAAAAGTGTTCATAAAGCCAGCGCCAATACTATCTCACTGCTCTTCACCATCCTTACATCCAGGACTATCCCACATTTTAATAGCGCCTCCAACGCCAACACCACCACACCGTTCCACATCATCATCACAGCCACCATAGTCCTCATACCCAGAGTTCCTAGGGCCAACACCATCCTACCAGAAATTAAATTAAGATAAATTAAAACTGAATGAGAGACGGCTGGAAGAAAAAAGAAGATATCACGACTCTTGTTGTTGAAATGTTGAGGGAAATTGAATTAAAAAAACTAGAGGTGCTATTCCATTCCATGGCAAATACACCTGCACTCCCGCTCATAAGCACTTCTTCATTTTCAAACCATTGGAAAACCTGAAAAGTTATTTTAGATTGCATTTGTACATCTCAATTACAAATAAAAGCAATTTCTTACCAAAGTTAGTCGCTCGTTGTCCATTTTTCGTTTTAAATGTAAATTTGATAAACATTTTTTAAATTTTAAATATTTGTTCCCCGATTTGTTTTCATTGGGCGCATTTCTAAGACGTTGCTGTTGTTAAACTGTTGAATGTTTGTCTTAGAAACGCACAGTTGAGTAGTTCCGCTCAGCTCAACAGTTGGCAACTATCCGCCATTTTTTCAAGCAGAAAATTTTTACGCTACCTGAACTCAACGTGTTGGGCTTAGCCTAAACAGTTGATCGTTAAGACTTACGCCGCTTGTATTAAATTTAACGCCGCTTTGTTAGGTGGCAGTTGCAAACAAATTTATTCTATTTTATATTAGTTGCGATCCCGTACGAGTCCGGACTAGTCAGAATCAGTCAGATTTTGCTGGAAATCGATCCCGTACTCGGTTCTCTGACTATTGAGAGGACAAAAAAGAGAGTAAATGAGGTCCTCTTTCTGTCAGAAGTTACCAGTTTTAGTTCGAAAATTTTTTGCTGGCAAGTTCTGATAAATGTGTCAAACGATCAGCTGTAGTGTGTTTGGCAACCAAATTGTAAACAAAAGAAAAGTGCACTCTGTTAATAGTTGCGATCCCGTACGAGTCCGGACTAGTCAGAAATAGTCAAAATCAGTCAGAATTTACTGGAAATCGATCCCGTACTCAGTTCTCTGACTATTGAGAGGACAAAAAAGAGAGTAAATACGGTTCTCTCTGTCAGAAGTTACCAGTTTTAGTCCGAGATTTTTTTGCTGGTAAATTCTGGTAAATGTGTCAAACGATCAACTGTAGTGTGTTTGGCAACCAAATTTTAAACAAAAGAAAAGTGCACTCCGCTAATTCATGTTGAAAAGTATTTAATTACTTGTTTAAGTGGATTCTAATGAATTTGAAAGTATTTTTGGTTATTTACATGTGTGAGCTAAGTGTATTTACATACAAAATAAACAAAAATTTACAACCGAAATTTGGAGGTTATGTTGAAGTTTATAGAAGTTACAATTTTTTACTAGAAAGCGATCCCGTACTTTCATTTATGTGCGCTTTACATCTGTATATGTGAAAATAGGTTCATTCCTTATCTTTTTGGACTAAAATCTGAAAAGTGTCAAAATGCCAGAGCGTAAGCAAAATGCGCTTACTAAAAGAGAATAACAGGAAAAAGTAAAGGCACGCAAAAAGCCAAATTTTTAGTCCAAAGAATGGCAACAACAAGACTAACGTCAAATAAGAATATAAATGTATGTACAAAACACATTAGGTTTGTTCGTCGAAAATCCAGCAAGAATTATCCAACACTCAAAATATCAGAGAGTAAGAAAAAATTTTCTCAAATTCTCTCTCATGTTGAGAAACTTGCAAATTTCTGCACGAACGCTAATTTGCAGGAATTTGCAAGTTTCGCTGCCAGCTGGCGTCCACGGTTGCATTTCAAATTTTTGTAGAATTTTTAAAATTCTTTCGGATGGCCAAAAACGGGATATACATGTATATTTCTTGTTGTTCTGACTTTCTTTAACATACATTTCAATTTCTTCATCGTACTAGCTGTCGGGTTTCTTAAATCGACTCTGGTTGCAATTGCATTCCGATTGCGAATACCATTTTTTTCAGCCGAATTAAGTTCAAATCATTGGAATTAACTAAATTAATTATATCAACAATTATTTACTTCCTTTTTTCATAAAAAAATCGCTCGTGTTTATAAATTTTTAAATTTAACGAACAAATTTATTCAAATTATTGTAGACAAAAATGCAACCATGCGCCACAACCACATGTTTTTCGTGTTTGCAAATTCTTGCTGGCAAAATTTTTTCCAGCAAGAATTTGCAACTTCTCTCCAAGAGAACTGTCACTTTGCTCTCACAATTTTTGAGTGTTGGATAATTTTTTGGTCTGTACGAACGCGATTTGGGCAAAAATCGTGATAATTCGTACAAATTCGTACAAATTTTTTGCTCGACGAACAAACCTAATTACACCAGCACAAGCACAATAAACACTTACTATATCAATCATATCAATTATTTTTTGATTCCCTCCAATTTCAATTCACTTTTTTTACTTTTTAGATTATTTTCACTTTTTGCATATTCTTTAATTTCCGTTAATTTCAATTCAGTTGAGTTTGACACTTTTCATGATTTTGCCAGCAAAAATTCTTCTGACTAAATCTGACTACTTCGGACTGAAGAGAGTCACTCTTACTGAGTGTTGCTCTCTCTGATTTTGCTATCAGTTTCGAGTTAAGGAACGCTTTTTGGACTAAATCTGACTGCTTCGGACTTTTTCTGACTATTTCTGGGAGATAAGGAACGCAACTAATGAAAATCAAAATGACATTCCAAATAACCGATGCCAGATTCGAGATTTATTAGGCGTCTTTTTAGTAGCTTTTTGCGAAAAGTTGCTTTGTCATACTTATCATTTAAAAAGGATTTTAGCAAAAGTTTGTTGATTTTAGTTAAATAAATCATTTATTTCAAAGCAATTTTTATGAATTTTGAAGATAAATCTAATATGTGGAAAGTGAAGTAAAACGAGTTTAATAGATTAAATAAATAATACTTTATATACTCCCTACAGTATTAGGACATAATATTTAGTAAGTCTAAGTCTTTAGTTTTTTACCAAGTAGTAAGAACTTTTTCCAAAGGACCAAAAATTATAACATGTATTTCCAAAAGCAATCACAAAATATGGAAATATGGGTATCAATTAAAATAAAAATTCAAAACAAGATTAATTTTAACTTTTTTTCCAATATTCTTTTGGAACATGTCAAAAATGTCCTTTAAA